ACCATTTCCATAAATATAATATAATATATATATATATATATATATATATATACTTACTAAGAGCAAACCTGTGAATCACCAGGTTCAGAGGTTGGCGCAACACACTGTAGTATGTTTGCGCCCCAGCGCGTGCCCTTTGCCCATGTGTATGCAACTCATGGAGACTTGAGCACACGGCGCAAGTTACACCGTCTCAGAGAGACACTCCCCTGCACGTTTTGCAGCACTCTTTTTATTTCCTTCTTTGTGTGTGTATGCGTTTGTGCGGGAAAGTAAATTAGAAGCGCAGCGATACTTGTCCCATTTCCTTTTGTCTTCGTTCCCTCGTTCCTTAAATGGATAGCGCCCGTAAGGACCGTGTATCTAAAAATTCTTATGTTCATATTACGCGCCATTATGTGAATGGTGGCGCCGCTCGTCAGCGCAGCTCGACAACGCGTGCGCATCCTTGAACGAGGGGAAAAGAAAACTGGGACGTCGTTCTTCGCATTGTTCCCGCCTTGCACCCTACCCTCACCCTTTTCCCATCAGAGGCGGCTGCCTGCATCTCCTCCTCCTCCTCCTCCTCCCTTGGTTCCACTGATGGCTCCAGTCACTCGGTTCCCAGCAGAAAAAAAAGTTAAGCAGGGTTCACCGCCAAAATCAACAGTATACAAACGACGGCAAAAACAGCAACACGAATAGAAAACAAAAGTGGGACAAGTGAGCCTACCTAGGGGAAAGAGATTGGCTGCTGTACGCATGCGCAAGACGAGAGAGGCAAGGACTTGTACTACTCCCACCCCCAGCGCCTTGGCTCTCCAATGGGCTACTTGCACTGCGTGATGCCATTTCGTTCATCTGGGCTGCAAGTTGGGACTTCAGGTCCTCACTCATCGCTACCACATAACTTGATCGGCGCTCAATGTACACACGATGCAAATCCTCCGGGTCAATGTTAAGCTCAATGTTAGTACGCTGATCTGCAATTCCATTTGGAACAGAAAGTGACATATGTAGGCGACCTCCTGCTTCACGAACACCTTCTGGGAACCGGGAGACACTTGAAACGGCTGCTGCACCACCCTGTACCTCCGCCGTGACGTCGTCACTACTGTGGTTCATAGAAGCTCCAGCATGAACCGGCATTGAACCAGCCGTTGCGGGGAGGAGAGTCGGAAGCTGCTGAGAGGTTGTCAGTGACGCCGTTGACGCGGTTTGCGAACGGCGCGATGGCGAAACTCCACGAGAGGCAAAGGACGAATTGGAAACCAACGACATACTCTGGTTGTACAACGCGGTTCCATAACGGGTATTGCGACCAGCAGGGCTCCGTGCAGCGGAAAAAGTGGCATGACTAGTGTTGTTATTGAGATTGCTGGTGCTGCAATAGTGGGAGTGCCCTTCGGCATTCTGCAATGCCGCAGCAACGCCAGTGGGAGAGCTGCCTCCCAGGGCCAAATTAAGACTAGGCGATCGGATTAAAAACTGTCCGCAAGAGTATGCCAAGGCGTCATCCACATCGGTATCCACCTCCACCAACTCCTCATCTACGGTGACGTAGTCAACTCTGCCGTCATCATTAATGCGAAGGTATTGTGGGGCCACTGGGGACATCGAGTTGCCACAAGAGGGCAGTACAAAACGCCCTTCTGATGCCCCCAATGGAATGGAGTAGTTGAATGCATCATTTTGCGCCGCATCTAGTGCGCCGGTAGAACTCAATGAAGCCCAGACCCTACTACCACCACCACCAGCCCCGGCACACAAACTCACCGGCGGACTGTGAGCTTGGCTGGTGGACATCCCTCTCTGAGAATCCAAATGAGGTTGCTCTAGCGGATTTTGCTGCTGTGATACGTCGTCGTTTCTAGACCGTAGCTCCGTGTGTAAGTGCTGCTGCTGCTGCTGTAGGAGAGGAGGCAAACGGAGCGCGGGCAGCCCTCCAGTTGTTCCCAGCATGCACGCACTGCATATCTCGATTGAAATATGAGCTGCGACCTCTTCAAGCTCGCGTTGGCACAAAGACTCCTCTTCGTCGGAGGTTGGCGGTGCGGGCCACGTCGGAGTGTTGGCGCCGCCGAACGACGAGACAGAAGAGGAGTCTTGCGGAAAAGTTGGGCGAACCCCATTTATCCACGGGTGCTGCAGCAACTCCACCGCCTCTGGTCTCCGTTGCACATCACGGGTGAAGCACAGCTCCATAAAGTCCTTAAATTCGGCACTAAACTCCTGCACGTCGTACTGTGCAAGATTGGTAAGCGGGGTTTCACTTGAAGTGGTGATGTAAAACATAAGCGGCAGGTTGTCACGAATCTTCGCATGGTGCCAGGGCAAAAGACCGGTTCCTAGTTCAAATAGTGAGCATGCCATGGACCAAATATCGGACTTGTGGTTGGATTCGCCCTTAATAAATTCTGGGGCCATGTACAGCGGGGTTCCAATGACGCAGTTTGTCGATTTATTCAGCTCATTCACACGTCTACTGCACCCAAAGTCACACAACTTGACAACTCCAGAGCCGCTTACCAGAATATTTGCTGGCTTAATGTCTCGATGCGATATGCCCTCATTGTGGATAAACGCAATGGCTTCTAGAATGTGACGGGCAAACTTGTGGAGAATAGTCTCTCGTAGTGGTCCGTACGTTTCCAGCAACGCCAGCGTCGATCCACCAGTAAGCATCTCCATGACAATACGGCACACCCTCTGCGACGCGCTGTGCTCAAAAAGTTGATATGACATAATGTTGGGATGTCGAAGGGACTTCAGTAGGTCAAATTCTTTGCCAATCGCATTTAGTCCCGCCTGATCGGTAATTTCCGCAATATTAATCTCTTTTATAGCAACAAGTCTCCCACTCACACGATCGATGCCCGCATAGACCTTGGCAAAACCTCCCACCCCAATCAGTGGTCCTTTGCGTATGTCCATTGGGTGCTCAACATCGCCATTAATGATAGGCGTTCCAACCAGACTCAGGTACGCAGAAAATGAGTGCAGGAGCATTGTTAATTCCCTCTTTACAGGTGAAACAATGGGTGCTCCGCTTTTCCCGAGCTGCCGTGCCGCACCACCCATCGCGTAGTATGCCGTCATGCTTGGACTTGATGCGGCTCCTAAAAGCATCGAAGGACGCCCACTTCTATAATTTCCCAAAATTGGACTAGCTGAGGAAGGTGAAGGTAACAATGGGCCCGCAAAAAAAAGCGCGCTCGTGTTGCGGCCACCACTTGCTTCCCCATTAACTCCACCAGCATGGGTCAGGGAGAGACCAAAAGAGACAGAACGGCGGTGGTTTTCATACCCTGACCCTCCTTGTATTACTGTGCCTGGGGACGCACTTGACGGTGAAGAAACTCCAGTGCCTGGAATGGCATGTTTCCCGCTAAACAAAAGCTGATGACCATATTGAAACGATGCCCGCGGCGCTGACGACGCCCGCCATGGGTTGTAGACACAGAATGACCGGCTCCACTCAGGGTAGCTACCCACGAGGCTCGCCACCGTACTGGTATTACTCAGACTGCGCCGTCCGTTTGGGCAATTATTTCTTGAGACCATGGCACGGTAGTTGCCGGTGTGTTTGTATGTGCCAGTTCGATCGTATCCCCGCTGTGCCGAACTGTTGGGTGAACTGCAGGGTGTGTTGGACTCATCCCCCCAGGAGGGGCATTGGTAGCGTCCCGTGCGGCGGGAGCCGGGGGGCCCCGCAGTGGAGGTGCTGCTGTCGAGCGTTTCCGCATCCTCCTCCTCGTCGCACTCGTTACTCGACGGTGAGGAGTGGCGGCGCCGGGGCGACAGGGCGCCCACGTGGGGTCCACTATCATCCTCGCTCATGCCGCAGCGAAGACACAGCGTGGCGCCCTCCCGCGTGTTTCTTTTCCTTCAAGCCTTCACTCGCGCCAGGTGCCTTCCTTGCTGAAGGGGAGAGGCGAGGAGGCACGTGAATCGACCTCGTCCAGCCCGCCGCGTCAAATAGGAAGATGCGCGTGCACGTCGCCGACCTTTTTTCTTCTAACCTTCTCCCCCCTCTCCCTTAATTTTAACTTTGGAGTCAAATATCGACTTTTGTTGCCCCTCCCCCTTTTTGTTGTTGTTGTTGTTGTTGTTGTACGACGTCTCTGTTTTAATTTGTTTCTCCGTTTCTTCGTGTCTGTGTGTGTGTGTGTGTGTGCGCGCGCGCGTGCGGCTTCGGCGAGGAGAAATGACGCTGACGCGGCAGCAGGGAGAGAGAGAGAGAGAGAGAGACACCCATATAAACACAAGCACGAGCAAAAAACAACAACAACAGCAACATCCCCAATAAGGGCGTCACATTTGGCAGGAAGGGGAAACGAAGTAGCAACTATGACACAGACGGGGCAAGGAACAAGTGGAGAGAACGGAAGCCACCGAGGAGGCAACCAGAGCAACATAAACGCAGAGAGCGATGAGGCAAAGGAAAAGCGCAAGAAATGTTGCGCGCGACAATAAAAAGAGCGCTGAAAGAAAAAAACAACAACAACAGAAGCGCAGCAACATACACCTTGAGGCCTAACTGTACCCCCTCCCTCTTCTTCTACAGGTTTCCCTGTCGCAGCCAAAGTATGTCATTCACTACATTTTACTTAACAAACAACTCTTACACTCCTTGGATTGCTCGCTTTGTTTTCGCCTTTCTTTCCTTTGCCGTGGATGCTCTTCTCCGCTCTGCTGCGGTCAAATCGTTGGAGAAGCGAGACGGCACCAGGGTGCCGTGCGTGTGTGTGCTTGTGTGTATGCGTGAAGGCGCACAGGGCCTGCATCACCCCCATCCGCCCTCAATCCTCCTCTCGCATGCCTCAGGGAGTAGGAAAGGGAACAACAGATAAACGTGACACATACACACACTCACGCATGCACGTGAGGAGGCCAATCATGGCTCGGCTACAATTCAGAGTTGGGGTCAGGACGGAGAAAAGGGAACTGAGCATAAAGCGGTCCGAGCTCTTCCTCTGTCATGGGGCGAGACACCCCACAAAGCCGTAGCAATTCCGCTTCCGAGGAGGCGCCAAGTGCGAGAGAGGCAAGAAAGGCACACGTTAATTGCCGCAAGGGCTCAATAATAAGAAAATCACTCAACATTGCAAGTTCCAGCAGCAGATTCAAAGATTCAGGTGCGTTACTTACAATCGTGGGGTAGTAGGCTGTTCTGGCGTCCCCAGCAACTTTGTTACGCTGGACCCCGACCTCGCTAACGCCGCTAACTTGTTGCGCGATGGCGCGGCTGGTCGCTTCGTCCATGCAATTCTGCAGCAGGAAGTTCATTTCCCACGGCTGAAGTAGATCCTCCAGCGGTGCGCGCAGCGGCTTTGAGATTGTTGTCGGCACACGCGTCGTGAGCATCTCCAGGTACAGAAAAAGCGCCTTGCATCCCTTGGATGTCGCCTGCGCAAGCACCACAGGTGGCAAATCAGCTGCAGCAGTCTTCTTCCCTCGCTCCGCCCCCTTCTCCTCGCCATCGACGGCCGCATCGCGGTTGACAGCGCTCATCTCTAGATCATATGTATCCAAAACGGTATCCAGCAGGCGACAATGCCGCGCCCCGCGCAGGTGCAGCGCAAAGTCGAACCGCTCTATTTCGCATCGAAGCGGCTCTGACGAAGTTTGCCCGCAACCACCATTCGTTCGGTCGCCCTCGGTGGAGATAGTCGTCTTCAGCAAAGGCGACGCGTCCCTCGCAACGTGGCCCGAGCCGCACAGTGCAACCACGCGCACGTAGTCCTCCGACGGCAGGGGGGCGGAGTGGGAGAGGCTGACGTACAGCGGCGAAAGTTCCGCCTCGGCGCGTTCGGTCTCGTTCCCGTTGCTGGTAGCGGCAGCGGCGGAATTATTTGACGCCATAAACACCCACTTGGACAAGAACAAAATAAAAGAAAAAAAGAGAAAAAAAATAATAATATCAATCAAACGCCACGTCCCTCAAAACGCAAAAAGAACAACAGCAAGAAAAAAAACATATCGGATGCGTGGAGGTGGCGAGAAATACCCGCCCAATATTACTGGGTGTTTTTTGTAGTACTAGTTCTCCTTCACATTTCTTTTTTTCTGTTCATGGGAACCCTAAAACCGCCCAGCTGCGCCGCAAACTCTAATTACCAGAAAGAGAAGCGAGATAGGAACCTCGTACCCTGCGACACACACACACACACACCCGCCTGGTGTGTAAAACACGAGAGTGCTCCACAACAGAGTTGGCTACAACCCCCGAGCAAAGTGACGGAAGAAATACGCACGGAGCCCAACCATCGGCTTCTTTACAGTTGTGAGTGAGAGTGTACCTATGCAAATGTGCGCCCCAATTATGGTCTGCCTGCGTGGTTTCCTTTTCTTTCCTCCTCCACCACCCTCTTTCTTTCTGGCTTCGCTTTGCCATTTCAAAAGTGGTGGTAACTGCCGTTCGAGAGCGCTGACCGATACACACGCACATATATATATATATATATATAGGTGTATGCATTCACATTGCTCCGGCGACAGGACTTGATTGGGCAAATTCACCGGTTCGCTTCTCTCTCCTCTCCTCAGCAACCAGTCTCTCTAACTTATTTACACAAAACAATTTACGTTCGCGCTTCCACATCGGTTCTTTTCGCTCCTCTTTTATTTTCTGATGTTTTTTTAAAGCTTATTCCTTCTTGCGGTGGCGCGCCTTCAGTTTTTCTGCCAAGCCACCGGTCCGCCACCGCGAGAAATTGGCTGTTCCCGGGTCATGTATGGAGGCAAAAACAAACAAACAAACAACAGTCACAGAGAGAAATTTTCGGCTGTCAGAAGCCGCTAAGAACAGCGGAGCCGCGCCTTCCTGCGTTCCTTCCCGCTTCCGCATTCGAACAACACGAGAGAAAACGTCATCATTACCCTGCCAGAGGAAGCAGTAGCACCATATATAGCTCTACTTTCTTTAATGAATTCCTACACAACAGTTCATACATGTTTTAGTGGATTCAACCACGTTTCTTTTTCCCTTCCCCCCCCCCCCGTGTGTGGGCGTCGCCCCTTTCGCCTCTGTCCTCATCATCGCAAGACACTCCTAAACTCCAGCATCCAATCTCCCCCAGAGGGGGGGGGGGGGTTTTACTGTTTCACCTGAGCGTTGCCTCTTACCGCCGCTGTGCTCGCGCGAGGGAGTGCAACGTCATTGCGGCTGCGCGACGCACGGAGTCTGAGGAGCCACGCTCCGCAAGACCACCAATTATCTCTACCGCATCTTGCTGCAGCAATGACTCTAGGGATTTGGCGTGACCGCAGAGGTTTTTCACGCAGAGGGCCGCCTCCCTGGCGCAGTCCTCAGACCCATGTTGGATAATGTACAAAAGCCATCCCGTAAACGATGCGGCTGACGAAGGGGCCTCCATGCCCTCGCGGTTGTAGCGCCACTCCGCCACATAGCGAAGGTTCTCTTCATTTGAAGATGTGCTATTTCGAATGGCCAGCAGTGCGTTTAAAACAGCATACGTGTTTGACACCGTACTCTCAGTCTTGCCAGAGCCACTGTTGGCTTCCTTTGCAGAGGTTGCCGTTGCCGAACTGGCCTTGCCGTCACCACCGCTTTCCGCTTGCTGTGAAAACGCCAGCGACGTCCTCTCTTCTACCAGCCGTAGCAGCGCATCCAACCCGCCAAACTCGCGCAGCTTGGTCCGATTTTCCTGATTATTCACTGTCAATGAAGAAATTGCTCCCGCGGCCTGCTCGAGCACCGCAGAGGGTTGGGCAGGCTCAAGCAGAAGACGGCAAAGAAGTTCAAGACCGCCTTCCTCACGGGGCGCAACCTTGTCGTCACGTGAAAGGTACCAAAGCGCAGAGGCCACGGTTTCCTTCATCTGCAGCGATGGTAAAAGCTGTTGGGACGAAGACAGACTAGTATTAGGTTTGGTGTCACCGGCAAGGTAGCAATCCTCTACGGCGTAGACTAAAGCTCGCACAACGCCTGCATTCACCATCACCGGTCGGTTTTCCTGAACGGTAGAGCAATTGCGCAATAACCCAACAATCTTTTCCTTTACACTCAAGGTTAGTTGCACTACAACTTTGGCATGCTTCTTCTTTGCGGCGGTAATAGACGTCCTTTCAAGTATTTTTGCAAGCAGCGGAATACCACCACTGAGGCGAACACTATGTTTTATCTCTGGAGAAATGGTTAGGATCCACAGCGTGGATGCCATCTTATCCAGTGTCGGCATCGGAATAGATCCTGGGTGTTTCAATATACCCTGCTCAAGCTTGCTCAGCAGCAGCTCTACACCACCCGCCTCACGAATTGCCGGCTTATTTTGATCATTAATAGCACAATTGCGAAGGGTACCCGCCACGTTATCCAGAATTTTGTCATTTATGGGAAGAGACGCCGATGATTTCTTCCCCACCGCAGCATCTTTTTGCGCCGTCGAGGGAGGCGGCTTCCGATTCATTACGGAGAGCAAGACTGGTATAGCTGCGGCCTTTCGGATGGCGGGTCGTGACTCAACCGCAGAGCTGCAGTTCCAGAGTGTACCAGATGCATTTTCTACCACCGGTACACTAGGGCTCTTGGCAATAAGCTGAGCAAGTTCTATGATGCCACCGTAGTCAACGATTTGCGCCTTATTCTCGGGGTCCACACTGAGATTCCAGAGAGCCCCTGCCGCATTCTCTTGGACAAACTCGTATGGCGAACTAATTAACTCCAAGAGAGCAGGAATACATCCAATGTGTCGCAGATACGTCCGATTTTCGGCGTTGCTGGCGCAATTCCAAATAGCCCCTGCCATTTTTGTCTGAATGGACTCATAGGGATGACGCAAGGTGGCGGTAATTTTCTCCAATCCACCTGCCTCCCGAATTTCCACCTTGGACGCCTCCTCACGCGTTATGTAGCCAATCGCCATGGCCGCATTCTCTAGAATAGGAATAGAATCTGTGTAGAGGAGGTCGAGCACAGCACGTAGCCCGCCAAGGCGTCGTACCTCACCACGCACCTTTTCCTCGTCCGCGTTCCGGGCTATAAGATTCCACAGGAGCACAAGTGCCCGCTCCAACACCGCCTCCGAGGTACAGGATGCCACAATACTCACAAGCGGTTGCAGCCCACCACACGCAATAAATTCCTTTCGTGCGTCTGGCGGTGCCCCTTTATCTTGAGAAGTACGACCAGCACCGCTATCGGCATTATTGACATTGCTACTACTACTAATAATAATAAGCGGCAATATACACTCTAATACTTCGCACTTGACATCATTGTTAACGCTTTGAAGTAGGCGTGTGAGAATCGTTACAGCCTGGCCTTCGCCTAACAACTTATGTAGAATGTAGGTCACCATTGGCTCTGGCAGGGGCGCTGACGTCTGCGAGGAGGAGAACGTTGCTTCTGACGCACCCAGCGCGGCATATGGAAAGCGAAAAATGTGACCAAGAACATGTAGCTCTGCTATCTGAATGGGTGGACGCTGCAACGGCAGGTGCTTCAACAGACCGAGGAGAACAGGCAGTAGCTCCTCCCGTTTCTTGGTAGACCAGACCACGGACTTCCCGAAATGGTATTCATCGTAACTCTCAATCGCGTGCAAAAGTGTCATTTCCTTCACATCGGGCAAACGCAACATCGCAAGGAGCGCACTACCTGTTGGGCTAGAGCCGCTGCCTCCATGCACACGCGGTGGAGTGGCCCTTCCCTGCGCGGGCGATTGCTGACCCCCCTTCCAAGCCGCCTCGAAAACGTCCTGGTTCTCGTCCTTTTCTTTTGAGGCCGACTGCTCACGCCGTCTCCAATGCGTGCCATTTTCACTGGGACCGTTTAGTTGTTGTTGTTGTTGTTGTTGTTGTTGCTGTTGTTGTTGTTGGTGGTGCTGCTGCTGTGGCTCCGATCCGGCGTGCCGCTTCTGCGTCGTGGTGCTTGGACGTGGCCGCTTGGGCGACGTCGAGCTCATCGGTGCCACCTCCGGCGCCGCCTCCGCGCCGCCCACGGAGGTGCTGACGACGTCGTTGTTTGTGTTGTCGGGGTCCTCGCGGGGCGCGCCCACGACATGCTCCGCATCCGGTGCGTAGAACTCCGGCACATCCCCCGTCACCAGCAGGTTCATCGCCAATTTGCAGAAGGCCTTCTGCTGCGCCACCTCCTGCGCGCGCCGCTCGTAGCTCTGGAGCTGCGCCTCAACACGGGCCATCTCAGCACGCAGCTTGTCGTACGCCACCCGCACCACCTCCTTTTCACGCAGAATCGCCTCCTCCTCCCGCAGCAGCGCCAGTGAGCGCTCTGCCAGCACGTCGCTCAAATCCATTGACCCCCCACCGCCTACCGCACCACCATTTGAGGCATGTTGTTGTTGTTGTTGTTGTTGTGGCCACGAGGTCTCCCGCAGGCTGCGTGCAAAGACAGAGAGTGGGCAGTGAACAGCATCCTCGCTCTCGGAGAGAACCGACAAGAGTCCCGCAATCCGGCTCTCCGTCGTGGCCATTCAGTTATACCGTCTTACTATGCCTCTCTCGCTATAAAACGGTGGCAGGTACGGGTGTAGACTGTGCACTGTAGAAAAGAAGTAAACAATAAAAAAGAAACATCAAAGGGGAGAGAAAAAGGACAGTGCCCTCACTGTACGCCAACTGGAGTATGTGTGTGGAGGAGGGAGAGAGACCCCCCCCCACCACCACCACCACCAAGAAAAAAAAAAAGGTCAATCAATCGAGTAGGCTATACTGCAACTAATGCAGATGATTACGCTTACACGTGTCTTACAACAAGAAGAGTATAAAAGGGAACGAAACAGAGTCAAACGGAAGACATATATATATATGTCACTTCTTCTTCGTACCTTCCAAGTTCTCCGTGTTATCACTTTAAGCTTCTTACTTACGACCAGCGCCTACTCTGCCAGAGGTAGAACACCACAAATTCACAGGCACACTCGCACACGGTGGGGTGTATTGCGGCGTAGCGTGAAAGAGAGAGAGAAAGAAAGAGACTACGCAGCTGCGGTCGATGGCGTTTTGCGTCTCTTGGTCTTTGCCGTCTTCTTTTTGCCGCGTAGGGAGAGATCAAGCGGCAGCACGGTATGTCCCTGTCGTACCTCCAGTCGCGGTTGGTTGGCATCCTTGAAGGAAACAGCGGAGTTCCACTCGGGTCCAAGCGGATGCCGCATAGACCGCGCAAACTCCGTCGGGTTACTGAATGGACGCGGAATCATGTGCAAGAGCATGCGGTCTGGCACGAGCTCCACCCCATCGTGGTTGATGATGACGTGGTCAAGCTCAGCGTCCGCGCGGCTCTTCATCAACGTTGTCTTTTCGATTTGCCGCTGCAGCTCCATCGCCTGTAACTTTGCCTGGTGACGTTGGTTGAGACGCTCATCCTCACCGCCCCACTCGCCCCAGCCAGGCAGAGTGGCATTTTTGTCCACGGGCTTCATGATAGTTTCAACCTGCGCCGTTTTTTCCGCAAGAAACTCAGCGTCCACCTCATCGTCGGCGAAGGCGCGCGCAATGAGGTAGTCCTGATGCTGCTGCAACATCATTTCATCATCGTCCCCCGCTTCCCTCTTCGTTTCAGCTAACTGCTCCCCCCTTTTCCGTTTGCGCCGGACCGCCTTGGCCACTCCCTCCTCTCCAGCCTCCGCCAGGCCACTGTCGCCGCGAGGCTGTTGGAGGTCCGCCGGAACAATAGCAATACGTGTGCTGCTCGCACGCTTCCGCTTCGCAGGGGCGGCGGCATCGCCGCCGAGGTTACTAACAGAGGACACTTTCGGCTGACGGCTACCGGCAAACTCTTCCTTGGTGGCTCCTCCGTTTTCAACGGGGTCAGCCGCAGCAACTGGGGTCACCTGTTCTTGTCCCTTGCCCACCTCATCCGCCTCAGCCTCACTGCTGCCTTCTTCGCCAATAGACCAGGTGTCATCCGCACCTTCCTTGGCACGCGTGCTGCTGTGACCACCCTCCGACTCATGTTCCCCTCCCTGGGCATCAATGCCACGGTGCCGCTTCAGCTTAATACTCTCTACGACTTCCCTGCCACCTTGTCCCTCACGCTTGCGCAGGAAGGCCTTCCGTCCCACACTTGTGTCTGTGGTTGCCGAGAGCTGGGCCCTCGACTTTACCTTTTTCGGATTTTCCTTCTGGTCCCGGGCCTCGTCCAAGTCCGAGGTTTCGTCCTCGCGGCTTACAGCGTCGCCAGACATGTTGCGACGGATGTCCTCCTGCAAGTGCTCCAGCACCTCCGCGTAGCGCCTCTCCTCGCGTTGCCTCGCTTGCTGCATAAACTTCATCCCCCGCATTTCTACACGGGCCTTTTCAGTGGGTGTCATGTGGGTCGCCGTCGCCCCGTCACCCGCTTCCGCTTCCTCGACATCCTCGATGCTCCGCCAGAGCAGGGACGTCAGCTTTTTCTTCCTACTATCGGCCGCCTCCTTCCCTGCCCCTTGCGGCGTCGCGGTGGCCCCGGCAATAATATAGTCCACGACACGCTCCTCCTCGCTCGAGGCCGCTTCGCTTCCGGCGTCGGCATCACCACCCGCATTCAGGTAGGCATCCTCGTCTGCGTCCTCTTCCATTTTCTGCATGAGTCGTTGGTGCAACAAATTCTGCTCGTTGAGGGCATCTTTTGTGCTGCCGTCAAAGTTGGCAAACCGCTTCGCGTGGCGCACCCACTTACTTGTGTTCTTGTGCTTCTGCGTCACTCGCTCCTCCACTCTGGCCTTCATAAGCTTTTCTGCGAGACGCGCCCGCGCCTTTTCAGGGTGGAGGATCTCAAACGCCCTCTCCCGTCGCTCCTGTTCCCGGTCCTTCTCCTTGCGGAGAATTCGACGATACGTTTTGCTTTTAATGCGATTCAAACGGCGACGGCGTGCATTTTCGTACGAAAGCATTGCTTTTAACTTTGCCATATAACTCCTTGTTGGGGCGTTCCCGCCCCCACCGAGTTGAGCCACTCCTGTTTTATGTGCATCACCAGCGTCGTCATCGTCGTTGTCGCCAAGGGGAATAACGCCGTCCTCCGCAGTAGGTGTAGAAAGCTCTGGCTTTGCTAGCCCCGCGCTTGACAGCAACGCATTGACCTTCCCAGCCAGGCGAAATGCAGACGCCCGCGAGGCGTTACCAGTCATCCCTGCGGCTTCGCCTGTGGGGGTTGCGGTCGCCAAGGCAGCCGCCGTATTCGCCGCATTCGCCTCCGTCGTGAAACGATCTACTGCAGCAGCAGAAATGGCGCCAAGCGTCGTCGGAACTGGGTTGCTCTCGGGCATTGGCATGGGCAACTGCACATGCTTTGCCTCACGCAGCTCTCGCAAAAAGCTGTTGTACTTGGCAAGATCATTTGCGACCACCTTTCGCACCTCGCTGCGGGTCAGCCTTGCCTTTGTGTGGTCATCGGCATCCACGCTGATGAGGTTGCGCTTGTTGTCCAGGCTTTGCTGCATCCGCGACTGTGAGGAGGACGCCGGGGCCGCCGTGACAATGTCGCGAATTGCACTGCTGTACTTGCCGTCCACGGCGGTCGGGCCATAGAGAGACTCCACCTCCTCTGTGACAAGCGCGCGCCGTCGCTTCTTCGCAACGCCGCTCTCGTCCACTTTTCTCGTCTTCTTCCTTCGGGTTTTGCCGTCCGCCTTCCCCTCCGCGGCTTGCGCCGCGTCGAGCATGTCCGCAAGGTCAATGTATTCATCCTCGCCGTCGCCCCCGGCGCCGCCCCGCTCATGAAACTCCAAGTCCTCGTCCTCGTCAATCTCGCCAAGGGCACGGAGCTGCTGCAGCAGGAGGGCGTCGTCCGCATCGCCAACCTCGTCAGCGCCGGCCGCGTGACCCCGTGACTTTTTATTCCTTGCGCTTTTCTTCTGTTTCCCTCCGGCAGCCGCAGCAGAGGCGCGGGCGGCGTCGGGGACCGTCGTTTTGCGGAACAAGTGGCCGTACTTCTCCTCGTCGTCGCTGTTGAAGGCGATGTCGTCGTCGATGTCCTCGTCGAGCTCCGGGGGGATCAGCGGGTTGTTGAGGTTGAGCGCGCCCCGCTCCTGCGCCTCGATCAGGCCGTCGTCGGCGCCGCCTCTCCGGCCGCGTCGCTTGCGGCCACCCCGCGGACCACCCACCGACGCCTTCCGCGTTGCCTCGCCGACAGACCTCTCGCTGCGACGAACCATCTGCGGCAGACACACACACACACACACACGCCTTATTCCTGTGGCCCGCAAACAAACCACGCACCACGCAAGTGTAGCCAAGGGGAGGGAACAGAGAAGCAAAGACATAAAGAGAGAGATATATATATATAGAAGGCACAGCGTTGTCTTTGTGGCAGAAACTGCCCGCCACAAAGCGGCGGCACAAACGCAAGTCCGAGACTTCTGCAGAGAGGCAGACGGTGGGGGTGTCAGGGAAGCCAATTTTCTCTCCGTTTCTTCAAAAAAATGACGAAGAAGTTCACATACTCTATTTCCTCTCAGACAATGTTTTGTGCCACATCCAACGCGTATAGACGCCCCCCCCTCCCCCCACTTGTCCGGCGACCCCACCACCACCACGTGAAAAGCAACAACAAGAAGAAACTTTTCTCACACGAACCACAAAAGCCACGATATCGTTGTAGCATTATTCCACGCCATCATAGAAAAGGCACGTGCGTGCATGTGTGCGTGTGTGTGTGTGTGTGTGGAAACAACTTCTCTCCATTCTACATTCACGCCGCAAGAAGCACGCAGGTCAGGGGAAATAGGTAACAACAGAATAACCAAAAAAAATGGCAAAGAAAAGGAACAGAGAGTTCATGAGGAGCGAAAAAAAAAAAGGACGGCATAAAAAAAACAAAGACATAAACGGCTTTCTTACATGGGGTTGAACGCTCCTTCTGAGAGAAAAAGATGTGGTACTCTCCCACGGTCACTGTAGCAAAATTCACAAATGCGTACACTATGTTTGCACCGTCTTTCTTACACTTCTGCGTCGACCGGGTCGTCTTGAAGAATGGAGGCTAGGTGGCGTATGCTGTCCAACTCTGAGGCCAACGGCGTTTTCAAGCAACTAACGGTATCATGCGTCGCCCTGTCACTGATCAGTGGCTGCTGTGGAAGTCGTGGCAGTTTGTGGCGTCGGTGCACATTTTGTGCTCCACGCGGTTCCACGGATGCTGCATACTTCACCTTGAAGGCTTTCTCTGCCCCTTCCGCCACCACGGTCCCTGTCTCTGGTTTCTGCCCCTCCGCTTCTTCTCTCTTCGGCGAGGAAGCAACGACCGCCGGCACCCGTCGAACAGGACGGCCCATCAACTTCATTGACGGTTGTGCAGGTGGTTTGGCCGCAATGAGAGAGCCCTTCATTTTGTTCTCGTCCTTCCCCTCCCGTTCCCCTTGGCGCTGCTGTTTTTCTTCGTCCTGTCGTTGCCTTGCAGTTGAGGCTTGGGGGGGCAGAGGCCCCTTTTTCGACCGCGCGGTTGCCGCTCCTGCCGCCGCATTGCTTTCCTCAGCAGCCGGGTTGAACCCGGACCACTGGTACTTCCCCTCCGGCACGATCCACTCGCCCCCGTCAGACAGCACAACGTCTGCGTCCGCCGCCGGGGCACGACCCTGTGGCGTTTTCGCTTGGCGCCCACGGAATTTGCCTTTTCTTGCGGACTTCGCCTTAGCCTCCTTCTCCGTCTCAGGGTCAGGCAGCCGCTCCACGACAACGCCGGGCTCAGCGACAATCCTCACAGGATGCTGCGGCTCGGGACTACGGCCTTTCACAGCATCCGCGTCCGTGTTCTCCGTGGCATCTGTATTTGCATTGGCAGGAGGCGGAGGTAGTGTGACAAACATGCTTTCGTATTCGGCCTGTTCAGCTGCCTCCTTTTGACGCCGCCGCCGGTCCTCCAACGCCTTTTGCTGCTTGCGGCTAAGAACTACATACCGACCGCGAGGGCTTGGGGAGGGAGCCTCCTTGGGTTGCGCCTGCTGCGCCAATTCCGCTTCTGCGGTGGCCTCAGCAGTGGGGGATTTAGGGTAAAAACTCAGCGCCGCACGACCACCTTTCGTGATGTTTACGGAGAGCTTTGCCGTGCCATCGTCGTACCAAATGTTCTCGGTAAAGTGGGAAGCACTGCCTCGGCAAACGTGCATCGATGCCTTCGACATTGTGGAACTATTGGCATCAGTGGCAGTTCCCTGTTGTTTTTTCTTCTTCGTCGCTGTAGAAAAGGTCAAAGCGCGATCGCCCTCAATGAAGACAAGAGAGTCTGGTACGGGGTTTCGCGGGTTTGCCGCGCCGCTGCTCCCCGCCGTAGAAGGGGCAAAGTAACCTTGCGGCAACTGACGCAGAGCCTTTGTGAAGTCATCCTCCACCACCTGGCCTGGTGTCCCTGTCCTTGTGGAACGATTGGCCTCAGCGCTACTTGGCAAATCACTATAAGACATATTCTGCGGACGGCGTCGTCTCCCCTTGTTGGATGTGCTTTGCGGACGCTCTACCTCATTGCCGTCGCCTGTGAAGCGCGTGGTCTCACGCGCTGCGGCCTGTGCTTCGCCCTCGCCCTCTTCCTTGCGCGGTGCCACATTCATCGCGGCTGCAGACTCCTTGTTCTTGCTATTACGCCTAAAACGACTTGACTTCCGTCGCACCCCCGCCCATTTCGTTGCCTCCCGCTCCCCTTCCTTTTCCTTTTCCTCAGCGCTCTGCCGCCGCTGCAGCTCCGCAACCTTTGGAAGGACGTAGCGAGCATAGTCATCCAAAGCAATGGGCGTGGGCGGGGTACCCGGGCTGTCAGCATCTTCCTCAGTCGTTGCAGTTTTTGTTTCAGCTACTGCATATGTTTTATTTGCCGTAAACCGCGCCGCTACAACTCCAGGCGTCCTCGATTGCCTCTCAGTCTTTTTCAACGACGCATTGAGAAGTCGTGAAAAGGTCAAACCCTGCTCCTGCCTCACCATCGCATTTGGTTTTGTGAGTCCATTGCCAGAAAACGGCCGTGAAGCCGTCGTTCCACGGCAATGGAAGGAAAGAATAGCTTCCGCATCTAGAAGCGACGGAGAAGACGCCCATTGTGGAAGCAGGCCGAAATAGGGTAGGCTGTCGCCGGGGGAACGCGTAAACTCCGCCCTTTCCTTCTCATCCTCGGCACCCGGTGACGCAGCGCCTGTCGGATTCCCGTTCATCGCTCTTTTCGGTTTTACCTGCCGGGTGGTGGGAGCCGCGGCAGGGCTCGCCTTATGCGGAGTAAGCTCCTGAGGGTTATGCGGAACAAACGAGCGAACGACAGAGTCGTGCACCTCATCCCAGACGGAGCAGGCTGTGTAGGCGGTCGCCATGGCATCAAAGTCGCGTGTCACGTACACTTCTGCCGCCATTCTCACAATCTCTTCGCAGATGGATTCGCAAAACATTTCAGATGCAATGTGCTGCTCCGCTTCTAGAACGAATGCATCCGCCAATGGGAATGTAAAGGCAGACCGCGGGGATGGCATCGTCGAAGCTGAGACGGCATGCGAAACTGGAGAAACGGCGGATGTGGGATCATTTCCAGCAGTGGATGCCTGTCGCCTGGGGGTTCCCTCACATGCTGCTGGGCCTAATGGGGAATCATCCTTCAGGCCCAGTTCCCTTTTGGCTTCCGCAATAGACTTCACAGCATCCCGCGTTTCAGCAGTCAGATTTTGCATTCCTATCTCCTCCGCTAGTGCGAAGAGCGGAACTGGAAACGGTTCTGTCAGGTACACAGGTAACTCAGGCGAGCGATCCCGTCGGTGACTCGTCACCTTTGCCTCCTGACCCGTCGTTGTCAAAATGGAAAGCATGGATGCAACCACCTCTGGCTCCTGCGCGGACACCTCTGCGGATTTTTTGGGAGTGGCCTCCCCTTTAGTAATTCGTTTTCCTGCTTTCGCCCCTTTTGACGACGACGCAGGGCGGACGTCCGAGACTTGCTGCTCAAGTGTTCGCGGCAGCGCCACCTCAGCTGGCGACAGCGGCGTCTCCCCGATCTCCAGCGTTCCACGAGCCCCCTTGACGTCAACCTGAGACTTCCGACTGCCGCCAAGGTCCTGCGACGAATTGAAACTCCGTTCGCCACTTCCGCCTCGTCGCTGCTTCGGTTTTTCGCCGTGCTCCTGCAGTTGTGCCCGGAGCCTCTGAAGCACGGCTCGCATGCTCGCGCCGTACTCCCGCTTAAACATTTCGTCACGGAACTGTTTCAGATATCGATCCTCCGCGTCGAGGGCGATGGGATCGGGAAAGAAGGACGGCATCTCCGGCAGTACCGGCAACTCTTCACGGTGGCCGCTGCGAAGGCCCCCCGGCGAACTCGGCGGTCGGCCGTACGCCAAGTTGCCGCCACTTCTGCTGCTACGACGCCTTCGGTTCATTTCTTCTTCTTCCCTGCTGCGACTGCTGCCGTATTCCGAGGTTCCTGCTGCTCCTCCCGCGTGCTGCCAGGGCACAGAGGAGGCGTGAGGAAGCAACACGAGGCGTGGGGCGTAACAGCGGCAACATGCCCCCCAAGGAAAAGTAAAAAGGGAAAGGAAGGAAACACATCAAGGAGTAAGTAGCAATGACCGATGAAAAAACACCACCCAGTTAGATAAATGGCAACGCAAACACGCCCACATAGGAAGATAGGCTCGTAGCACAGCCACGGGCCCAACAACACCATGCCCCGCTGTACGACTCCACCCCCCCGCGCACTTATTTCTTCCTCTCCTCCGGCTGCTGACGGAGTTCCTGCGCAGCAGTCCTTCTTACGTGTTTTGGCGTAAACTCCAAGCCGCTGTACCGTGCCGCCCGCTTTGCCCGCTCAATATCGTCTTGCTTCACTGCGTACCTATTTTGTAGACCGCGATAGTGCTGCAGCTTTTCACACAGGATGGCATACTCCTTTCCACCTAGCGCACACCTCGGGTCGCTCTCCAGCTCCCTCAACCGCTTGCTGAAGGAAAAGTTAGAAACGCCGCCGGCTGGAGACGCCGCCGTCGTCGCCGCACCGGCAGCACCGCATAGCAGTCGCCGCGAGATGCTCCACATTTACGCCTGGCCAGCCCTATCTCTCGCAACGACGGGCAGAGGGAGGGGCCACAACAAGTTGAGTTCCAAAGCAATACAGGAAGCAGATATATATATATATATATATATACAACCGTGGAGCACACAGGGATCAGTTAGAGTACAGAAACAGCAACACATGCAAACGTCTCAAAGGAAAGAGAAGGAAGGAGATGAAAAAGGGCAAGTAAAATACTACCCCCTTGTACGAACGACAGCAAAGCCCTCTGCCTAGCATCGCTACTGCAGGCAAAGAACCGGGAAGCAAAAAAAAAAACACAACAACAAGAAAGAGACGAGGTCCATATGCGCCTCCTCTACGCATGTATTGACTGCGACAGGTCGTGATGTACGGCGGCGAGCTTCAGCCCTATCAACCGGATGCGGGAATACCCCCCCCCCCCCCGCTACGAGGCCAGCAAACACTGCAAGCAACGGGGCACGCGTAAAGCTTTGACTGTTTTTTTTCTTCAATACACGCCTTATTGTGTGTGTACAAGAAGAGGTTTTTTTGATCGAATTGCCTTTGGGCGTCCCAGAAGGGTCTGCGAGTCACACAACCCTCAAGGTGCTACGGCACCGCCAATCCTTTCTTTTGTTTTTGTTTTTGTTTTTGTTACTTTCGTTTTTAAAGTCCGCATTGCATCGCACGATTGGCCCACTGTGCGCCTTGCAGGCAGTTTACAGCGCCTCCCTGTCTCCTCTGCGAGCACCGAATGACGAAAGCGGCATCCGCGCGTGGGTGTTAGGGAAGCGGCCCAAAACACGAGCAAAAAAACAAAGCAAAACTAGAGACAGAAGACTGCACGCACGCCTATACTGAAGGGCAAAGAAAAGGGGCAAAGAAGAGGGCACAGGAGAGAGATGATACGAGGCCAGGATGAAACATCCTCACAAGAGCCCAAAGCAAAAATAATAATTATTCTTCTGTGCTTATTAGACGCAAAACTACAAACAAAAAATGTAGAAATATGTGTGAGTGTAAGACTGTGTCTCTCCTTTTTTTTCTTCTTCTTGTCCTCCACACTTTGCCCACAACCACGCGCGACTCCCACCCAGGGGAATTCTTGGATTTTAACAAAAAAATATTCCGCACTCAGCCCACTAGAGGAAGAGATCCTCAAGCAAAGCATGCAACGCCTCCACTGTCGCCCGCAGCCCATCATCTCTACCTCCCCACCCCACGCACTCCTCTTGCATTTCCAATTCTTGTGTATATTTTTCGGTTTCGGTTTCGGTTTTGCATGGTGTTCAGTGGCAATCACGAGGTACGGGCCCGCTTCGACTTCGTCCCTTGCTGCTGCTGCTGCTGCTGCTGCTTTGCGGCCGCCTCCAAGTCCATGATCTCCTGCTGTATCTCCAGCAACTCATCCTCCGTCTCCGCAGCCGCCATCTTCGCTTCCAGTGCCTCTAGACGAGCGTGAGTGCTGTCAAGCGCCTCGTGTGTGGCATCCGATGCCGCCACCGTCGTGGCTGCCGTCGACGGGCCGACCGCAGCGGAAGCCACTTCCCCAAAGCCGTCACCGCTACTGAAGGTGCTTGCGGCAGCAGCCGCTGCTGCCGCTTCCCGAGCCTCACGGCCACGTTTTCTCAGTCTTTTACCATTAACCAGACCATCTCCATTAATTACTGCCGCCTCGCCAGCAGACTCGACACCCCCGCTTCGAACAACGCGGCTCTGCTCCCCGAGGCATCGCCACTCTTTCACACATTGCTCAAACTCCCCCCGCATCATCTCCACGTTGAGTCTGTCGGCCTGCGTCACTCGCTGGTAGTTGACAAGCTTTAGTTTGGGGCAAAGAAAAACAACGAACGCCCGCAGCCGCGCCTCACTTTCGTGCTGGGCCACCGGATTGTGTTCAATGGAGAGAATCTCCAGCTGCCGCCAGTGCGACAGAAACAACAGGTCACGCAGTTCACGGAATTCGTTGTGGTCCGCTAAGAAGGCCCGTATATTAGGAAGCAGTGCCGCACACGTCGCCTCGCTTACGTGCGAAAGGCGGTTACGATGCACAACAAGAGACTGCAAACGAAGCATCATTCGCTGCCCCGGATCTACAGAAGTGGTTGCTCCCGCCTGCGACGCCGTGCCGGTGCCAATGCCACTGGGAAAGTAATCTAGGCGCACAAGGGGGTTCTGCGAAAGGTTCAGCACGTCAAAGCTGTCATTCAACTGCTGCAAAGATCGCTCATCAAGCACAGTTAAGCCGAGACCGCGGAGGTCAATCTCCCGCTGCAGGAGGGTGTTGGTAAACTGCGGAGCGCGACGGATTATATCCACTGTGAGCCGCATGGGTTCTGTCTTGTGCGTTCTTTTCTTATCAGGGGCAGTTCGTTATTTATTTGTTGTCATTATTCGGTGTGTTGGTGGGTAATTTTGCGCGTCAATGACACCAGGCAGGAAGCAAAAGGGGAGGGGGGGGGGAAGGGTATCGCAGGCGTCGACGAGCTCCGCGCGTTGCGGCAGCGCAGAACGGAAAGGCAAATAAAAAATCAAATCAAAAGAAAGAAATAAAAAATAAAAGAAGCAAAATCCGACGAAGCACCAACAACAACAATAGTGAAAAAAAAAAAGAGGGACAAACGACTGATCTGGCGCACATTATCCATCTCTCTTCCAGCGTCCACCGACAGCGAAACTCAACGCCACACTTGTCGTCCATGGCCTACGCAGTCCCCCCTTTCTCAGCTTGCTGCCGAAGGATGCGACGGTACCCCTTCAACCCCCCATGTTCATCATAAATGGGCTCCAGTACGTAATCTGTCATGGGCTTCGTGTTGGGTGTGATCCCCTGCGTAAATTTCTCGACGGGCGCTAGCGCTGGAAGGTAATACGCGATACCGAAAGTTATGATGAGCAACGGGCCTAAAAACACAAATTCGCGGATGCCCAGTGGAATGCGCGTGTTGTAAAAGGTCGCCAAACGAAGTAAATGCGGATTCTTCCTTGGTGGGGGCACGGCATTGGCGATACCAGGCTTTTTTGTGGCGGCGGCAGCGCCCCTGCCACTTCCGCTACCGCCGTCACCGCCGCTGTTCGAGCTAGCAGCTGTCATTGGGGCAACTTTGTTCTTCTTCTTCCTCACCTTCGGCGAGTGTGTTTGCCCTCCACCACGCACTAAATGCATGAAACCCCCGCGAGAAAGAAGGGGGAAAATAATAATAATAATAATAATAATAATCGTCAGACAACAAATTTCTTGCTGCACCCGCACCCTGCCGCCGCCAGTCAAACAACTAAAGGTGGGGGGTATCCCACTAATGAACGGGGAAGCCACCTCCCCGCGCTCTTTTTTTTTGTTCTTAGTTTGTCAGGCGGGTCAAAGCTCCCAAAGCTTCAGCCATTTAACATCATTTTATTTCAACTGAAGAAATTTACTCGCACGAGCTCAAGATTGGTACGAAGATAATAAATGTAGATTGCACGCCCACATCCTTCACAGACCAGGTGGGACACACCACGCCTGCAGTTCCCCTTCGTCTCCTCCTCACTGTTCACCGAGGTCCAGCGTGACGCTTGCCTGCACCTCTCCTGGGCTTATCATAGCTGACTCAGAGGCGTGCGTGGGGACCCGCACCAGCTGTATCAGCAACTGCAAGGGCGCCGTTGTGGCCGCATCTCCTGTTGAGGTTGCGTCGCTTTTCTCATCTTCGCTCAAGGTGAATACAATACGGTTCCTCCACTTTTCCCCTGCTTCCTCTTCCTCAACCACTGGGAGGGGCACACCCTTGTCACTCAATGGGATGACGCAGGAAAGCGCGTTCGTTGCATCAGGTGCACCCTTTTTGTGATGCGGCAGCTGCGCATTGTCCTCAGACCCCATAAACAGGTAAAGAACAACCGCATTCTGCCTGGCTCCGGTCAACGGCACCACAACGCGTGCAGGAAGAAGTGTGTGGGCCGTAAACAGGACAGATAATGCCGCCGTGGGAATTTGCAGAGGAGCATCCTTCTTCTGCTGAAGTGCCAGAGCTGAGCGCAATGCCTCAAGATTGGGCTGCGTGTAGATAAAAATCGGCTGTTGCAGCACCGCAACCTCGTTGCAGCGACGATTTTCATCTCCATGCCTGCCCGAATCGTCAAGGGTGAGGGCAAGCCACACACGCCGTGCCCCCTCAGCCAGTTCCTGCCTTTTAGGTCCAAGACTTAGTTTTTTCTTCCCATTTTTTCCACCCTTTGCAGCATCCTGGTATCCGTGCTCTCGTTCTTGGAGGGCGGCAAGGGCAAGGTGGTAGCTGTGCAGGCACCCGCCCACACATGGAAGTTCTTCCGCCCCAAATATATTCTTGTTCTGTAGCAACTGTGAGGAACTCTTGCCACCATCGCTTAAACTATCTTCCACGACTGTCGTGCTTGTTGCCGCCTCCATGATGACAAGGTTGCGGGCAAACAGGCAAGGCCCCGTGCCTGGCATGAGAGCACGCTGCGTAAAAATATGGCGTACGGACTGCGCAATGCAAGGCATTTGCATCATACCCCCACAGAGAACCACAGCGTCGATAGCCCCATCCCCCGCTTCTTCCAAAAGATGCAGGTATTCCGCAAGAACCTTTTCAAAGGACTCAATAAACTTCCATTCCCCCCGCAGCGCGGAGTCCACGCGAACACGCGAAAACGTCACTGTGTCCCGCATGTCAATGCCCTCCGCCAGTGCCTCAACCTCCACCGGGACCTGGGCCGCCTTGCTCAGCGCTACCTTCTTCTCCTCTGCAACGAGCAGCAGCCGACGCTGGGCACGGACGGGGAAATCGCTGAGTGACTGATAGCCCAAGACGCGGCGCTGCTGCTGCGCAAAGGTCGTGGCAAGGCGCTCGCGGAGCGCCAAATTGACGGCGTCGCCCCCACCGCATGCTGCCGCGGCGAAGCCAAACTGCGCCTCCTGAGAATCCACCCCGGCCTGACAGGCGCGAAGAAAAAGAGGTCTCGCTTCATCTACGAGGCAGCCACCTTCTAGGCGAAGACGCGTCAATGAGACACCCAGCGCGCCCCAATCCACGACAAGTACACGTGAATACGGCCACGGTGAGGCAACCTTACCGTCAGCTGTCACCCCGTATGATGTGGAGGCGGAAGCCGGCAGAAGAAAGTAGTGGCCTGCCATGGGATGAGACGGATGTGGGCGACATGAGACAGCGTCCATCGCCAAGAGGGCCGCCTCGTCAGAAAAAAGTACCGACACATGCGCCGCAACGGCTCCCAAGTGGGAAGTGAGAATCGCGTTCCTCACCCACTGAACTGCGTCTCGAGCGTCACCACCCGCACTCCCTTGCAGAGCCTTGGTTGGTGTTACCACCGCCGCAAACAAATACCGTGGCACCACAATTGTGAGAATAATCTTCGCTCTCCCTTCCCGCTGTGGTGGCCCTTCCAGTGTGGGCGATTTTTCGGCGGTAGCTGTCAGTTCACAGGCGGCGTCCACGGTATGCCTTTTTACGTGGTTAAAGAACTCCACCAGCATGTCTTCTGCAGTAACAAAATCATTATTTTCCTCCCCTTCATCACTCTGGTTTGGAGGGAAAAACCCCAGCCGCCCCGCTTTATCACTCTCTCTAATTACGAGTGGGCAATAACCCTTGTAGTGCCTCTTCGCAGCCTCTTCAACTCCACACTGAAGGGCCTTCGCAACATTCTCCTTCACGGCACTTTCACTATTGCCCTTGTTAGCATCAGCAGCGTCGCTGCCATGGCGTTGCTGATGCCGGTGCTGCTCAGCAACGGCAGCAAAGGCGAACAGGTACGGCACCACAAGGTTCGGCGTGCGTGGGTACAAGGCACGAGCGTCTTCACCAAAGAGTACCTCATCATTGCCCGCAAAGGCGGCCATCACTGGTGTTGAGCGGTGACCCGCGGAGTTGGCGATCACTTTAATCGGCGCTACCGTCTCTGCTCCAGCGGCAGTGGCCGTAGTAGTGGCGGCGGCAACGGCCACCACAGCGCTGCTGGAGCCCAGCGATATGCTGACGGCGTACATCGCACTCTGTTTGTATTGCCTCTTAAAATACCCTCTTTGTACGCGTGGCAACTGAAACCAACCTCATGCACACCCACACACGCACGGAGCAAAGCAAAAAATCCCCCCCCCCAACCAGAAAAAAAAAAGAAGGAAAGGTGTAGAGTTCAATCAAAAAAGTAATTGACAGGTGGATGACAGAAGTGTGGACAAAGCAGTTGACAGCGTGCGTCACGTGGTGAATTTCAACTCCTATGCATAAGAGACACACATATACACAACTAAGCAAGGGAGAACTAATTTGACACGGCCTGTTCAAGTCAGGTCAGGTAAAATAAAATAAATGAATGCATCCCGCCTCCCTCCCTCCCTCATGTTCAGAAGAAATAGATGGATATGCCTCTTTACTGTCGGTCATGTGCTATTTCCCCGCCAATTCCCAGTCTTGCAAGGGTACAATCACACGACAATGCATCGGAGAAAGAAACAAATCGAAACAAAAAAAAGACAAGCAAACAACGAAACCACTTCTCCACAATCCATGCCAGCACCCCCACCTAGATTTCCCCTTCACTTTCCTGCCCCAGTGCGTCAATGCTCTCTAGTTCCTGGGTGATGTTGTCCAAGAAGGCGGCAATGTCGTCTACTTCCGCAGCCGCTTTGGTTGCATCAGCATCCATCACGTTAGTGGCATGTTTTACACTATACAGCTGCTGCTGAGACCGTTGTTGCTCTTGATACTGCTCCCGAGATTTGGGTTGGGGAGGTGACTGCTTCAGAAGTGAAGAAGTTACTGCTTCTTGACCGGATTTGTGTGGGTCACTTTCGGTACGCATTCCGGGCTTTGGCTCGGCAAGACCGAGGTCTACTAAAAAGTCATCGCCATCAAGGGCGGCACCGGTGTCACGATTAGGATTCATTCGGCTGTTATCAGCAGAGAGAGTGTCTCGAGTACTTGTGTTTAGCCCGTGAGCACCACGAGGGTTTTGATGATACGTGTCAAAGGCTCGCTGCGCCTGTTCGTGTTGCGTCAACTGTTGCCTCAAACTCAGCCGCGGCGACGTTACCGCGGCTGCGTGTGAAAGCTGTGACGCCGCTGGAGAGCGAGAGTTTGGCGACGGTGGCGCAAACTGCGCCCGGTGGTCCAGCGAGGCAATCAGCTCACGCAGCTGCTCCTCCTGCTTCTGCAGTCGTCGCTCAAGGGTCATAACAACGCGTCCGTGCTGCTCTGAAAGGGACTGCGTTTGCTCCTCCACAAAAAGGCGCTGACGTTTTTCCTCCTGTAACATGCAGCGGAGGTGTTCCACCTCGGTGACCTGCTCACTATGAACGTCACCAGCAGCACCATTACTAGTAGTGGCGGTAGTGGTAGTGGTAGTGCGTGCACCGTAAGCAGCACCCGCAGGATGTAGATCAGGACGAGACGAGGTTCCAAGATCCCTGTTTTTGCCGGCTGGCAAAGTAGTGGAAATCGGTCCTTCTTGCTGTAGGTATCGCCGAAGCTCCTTTCTTAGTTCGGCAATGACTGCAGCTTGTTCCTTCTCCCTCTGTTCCATGGACGCAATCTTGGCCGCAAAGTGGCTCTCGACACGTTTCACGATACGCTCAATCTCCTGTGCCTTTAGCGTTGCCTGCTGTTGAGAGTGCGGTCCGCTCTTTGCCCCGCCATTGACGCTACGCGGTGACGCCTGCTGCGGCTGCTGCATTCTAGGAGGGGAACCATCCTGCAAGTACGCGGCTAACGCTTGGCTTATCTCCACCAACTCCGAAAGGAGGTGTCGCACCTGGTAGCCGTTCTCATTGCTGCTCTGCTGGCTGTAGCTGTTGGGAATACTCGTCGAGGACGCCATGTAAGAGTTGCCGTCGGGCAAAAATCCCATCCCCTTCGTAAAACTAGCACGCCGTGCATCAGAGGCGATGCCACCCACTGGATGAATGTTGGCCTTTCTACTGTAACCCCCACGCTGCCTCCCGCCGCTAGACGCCGCCCGCCTCCGCTCCGTGTGTGGCTCACTCATTCCACCCCATGCCGCCGCACTCCACGCATTACTTGACGCTGCACGACTTGCCGCCGGTCGCCTTGGCTGGCTGTAGGATGCAGCAGAGATGGCGGCACCTGCCATTCGTTGCCGGCCACGTTCCCCCGTCAAGGTCGACTGTGAATGAGGAGGCATCGAACTAAACGGCGAGGTAAAGCGCTTCCCCGCGTACATGGTCAACGCCTCTGGGAAACACCTCGCATTGGGAGTAGAGAACACAAACGCATGGAAAAAAAGAAAAATAAATGACCGCGGGGGAAGAATGCTGCTCCGAATCCCTGCGGGGGAGTCAGCGCGGGAAGTGAAAAGTGCTTCACGCAAAAATATGTGTCGAGGGAGAGAGAAAAAGCTGTGCGTACACAAGCAGACACGCGTGTGCGCCAAAAACAGAGCCAGACAAAGAATATAAACACACACACACACGTAGAAACGCGGTAGCACTCAATAAAAGGTGATGTCAAGCGGAGGGTGTTACTGGAACGCGTTAATCCCCCAGGCATGCCGTGAGAGGACTACAAGGTGCCGCACACCCCCCCTCTCCCCTTCTCTCTATGTATAGGAAGACGGAATGTATAATTTTTATGCAATTATGTTGGTCTGTGCTCGTCACCTTTCTTTTTCCTCCCCCTGCCTTCCCCCTTTGCGTCGCTCTGCAGAAGGCTCCCGTGGCGTCCTACACATGTCAGCCTCACAGCTGCGTAGAGTTAGAGAAAGGGAGAAGAAAAGAAAGAAAGAAAAAAAACGGGAAGAAGCCAAAATAAAAAAAAGAAGAGGTGAATAGAAGCGAAGGAGCCGCTCACGCTCCCTCCTTCTTGTGCTTTTTGTGCTTCTTGTGGTGGTGACTGTGGTGGTGGTGGTGGTGTTTCTCCTTCTTTTCCTTCTTCGGCTTCTCCTTCTTTTGGCGGGAACGTTTATGCCGCCTCGCTTCGTATTCGCTATCGCCGTCCTCCTCGTCGTCGTCTTCGTCGTCATCGTCATCGTCATCGTCGCTCGCTTCCTCCTCGTCGCTCCCTTCCTCATCGTCGCTTTCCTCCTCCTCGTCGTCGACCGCGAGGCCGATGCGCCGCACCGTCACCTTCTTGGCAAGGTACGAGAGGAGAGCCGCCTTTTCATGCTTGTCGAGGGCGGAGAAAACGAGTTTGTTCTCCCCCGCGGCGCTGGCACGCCTGCCGAATTTGCCGTAAACCACCATCTGGAACGTCGTGCTGCCGCCCTCCGACTCATCCACCTCCACGTGTGTGACTTCACTGAACAGGGCGCGCGTCACGGGACGATGCAGGAACAGGAGGGCCGACTGCAGGACGAAGAGAAGCCCGTGGGCACCGTGGTGTAGGCAGCGCAGCACCGCGTGCCCCTTGCTCGTTTGGTACTCCTTGTTAAAGCCACCAAGCGCAGTTACGCCTGTTAACGACTTCAAAATCCGGATGAGGATTTCACTGACACGCCCCGACATCACTGGCGCAAAAGTATTCTTGATCGCCTTACCACCCGTCTCGCCATTTGCTGCTGTCGCTGACGCGTTTGCGGCGTTGCCTTGGTTGTGGGGCAGGGCGGCGAGGAAGCCGTCAATCTCCTCCTGCGTCTCCAGCTGGCACCGCCACGGGTGCTCCTCGCCAAGGACAAACCCTGCAGGGCAGGAAATAACAAGGTGGTTGTACGTCGTGGTGCGCACCTTCAACGGATTGCGCAGAATCACGACGACATACTGCGCAAGCTCCTCATTCTCCTGCTCCCCAGCACCGCTGTCGGGAATGTCGCACAGGTACAACTGCACAATATCGCTAAGCGGCACAGAGACTGCGGCGCCCCCACTCCCAGACGCCCCACGCTTCTTGTCCTCCAGCATCAAGGAGTAGTTCGACAGAACCAGCTTGTAGCGTCCAGCGGGGTACGAAAGGGTGAGGTCGTCGAGCACCGCGACAATACGCTCGTCCTTGCGCGGTCCCCCAGGCATCATCACAAGCAACTGGTTATCCGCCCCCGCATTGGCGGCACCACCAACGGCGCCGAGGAGAGAAGCTTGATACTTTTTAATCTCTTCCTGCGTCTCGGCAAGCACCTCACGCCCTGCCTCTTCCGTCTGCTCGTGGCCGACGCATACGTTGGGAATCGCAAAACGAATGGAGGTCAACTCCACGGCCACGCCCCCACCAGCGCTCTGCGTCGTGGTCACAGAAGACTGTGGACGCAGGGAGAGTGAGAGATCGTTCTTAGTCGTTGCCGAGGCACTTGCGATGGAAAAAACAGGAACCTGAACAATGGGCTTCTCCACCGCACTTGCAGGCGTTCCGCTGCTGTGATGCTGGGGCTTGGGCAAGGAAACAAGCTGTAGCACGGTTTCCGTATCCCCGTCGACGCCGGCGCCATTCTCGTCACCGGTCTTCTCCTCCTTCTTGGCCTCCGCCGGTTTCTGTTGCCGCTGACGGGTGGTCCACCTGAGCGCACCCCAGTTTTCAACCGGTGGTGCGGCAGTGGCAGCAGTGACGCCGGTCAAGCTGGACATAACGCGGTGTGCCCTCCGTCACTGCGGGGGGAAGAGGCTCCGCTGAAGCGACCGCAAACAAATAAATAGCAACGTGGGGAGATGAATAGGTGCGCGGCGGCGGTGATATTGGTGGGGTGGGGACCTACGCAAATCTCCTCTCCGTGTTCCTACTACTTCACTTCCTGATCCCACCCACAATAGTCGAGATGAAAAAAAAAACACACACACACATGCACGAACGTTCGACAAACCGAGCGGCCAAGAGAAGTGTGCAACTCGAAGGAGCTGAAGCTGACAGCCACACAAAAGGCAGATGCAAGTAGCAGAAACAGAACATTACTTGCCACCACCGGACATGCAAGAGAAAGGACACAAACACAGACAAACAATAGCAGTAATAACTTAAAAAAAAAAGTTGCCATAAAAGATATACAAACTGCATACATCACGGCATTAGTAACAAATGACAACACACACACACACACAGAAAAAAAAACAAGAGCCAAATTTCACGTCCAATTCAACAACCTTGTGGCTCAGCCTCACCGTCGCTCTTTCCTTGTCGAACTCGGGTTGAACTTCAAAGGCGGCGTGCCTATCCCCCTCTCTACACTTCAACTGAGGAAAACGACTATCGCACCTGCCACGACGACGACCAGCAGAAGCAGCCAACACAGAATTTGAAAAAAATTACGTAGTTTATACTGGGACTCCAGCAGCTCTGATGGCGTCGAGAAAGTATATAGCAGCATCAATGGCACATCCTCTAAATCGCCCAGGCGTACATACAACACGTTACGGTACAGACGGCGCACCGCCGGATCCACGTGCTTTGGTCGCAATACCCAGCAGCTGCTCGTTGACTGCGGCAATTTAACTTGTAAAAACCACGACGGCGGCCAAAACACTTTCCACCAGGACCACCTCTGTGAAGTCGCGCACTGTTTCGTGAATTCCGACAGCGCACCGGAGGAGCCTAACAAGGCCACTGGGTCTCTTGCGAGGTATTTCTCATAGTGGTGTTTCGCCCACCCAAGCAATCGTATAACGCGTTGACGAGCATGCGCCGCGTTGCTCTCTCCGTAGCCTACCTCAGCGCCCCATTCATAGGGTCTCTCCCAATCCCACCCCCTGTTGTCCTGCGCCCATTCATGATGCAGGTCTTCGTGCGAACGAATAAAAAGGTCAAGGACATTTAGCCAACGAATTTGGGCCTCTTCTGAGATGAGCTCGACGGTACGTATCCAAGTCTCCGTCGCCTCAGTTTCGTCCCCTGCACCTCCTACTTCATCATTCTTCGTGTGTTCCTCGTTACTGAAGGCCCATGCTGCCGGATCCATCGTCACCAACGAGGCTGAAGGAGGCTGAACGCCCATGCTATTAAAACGTGTGTCATTTTCCCTCCATTCGCACACCTCTTCGACCAGTTCACTGTCCTCAGCTCCACCCGCAAAAAGTTTCTTGAAAATTTCATTCTCGTTCTCCAAAACACACTCGTTACCAGCAAAGTTAGGAAAAGCATCGCCCTTTTGACCGTATTCAGAAGGAACTGGGCTTGAGGAGAAAGAGGAAACGTCTGCTTTTTTCTTTACCGCCTCCTGTGGAAAGCTTATAGGTTGCTTCAGGAAGCACCAAAGGCCGCGAAACAACGGCAGAGACCCAATAACCTTGCGAAAATCATCATTATCCGACTCCGCTTCTTTTTCTGCATCCTGGGCGCCATGTGGCGTTTGCGTGGCATTTAGGGTCCGGTTTGGCGAATTCAGTCGCCACAAGACAACGGTTTGCCAGTCCTCTTCATGCTCATACCAATATTTCATCTCGCTCAGGATGTTTCGCATCAAGGCAGCTGAATTTTCCGTGGTTATGCGACCACGCGTCTCGGAGGGCTCCGTGGTACTTGCGACAAAGTCTTGCAGAATGGCCTTCACACGTTCCTTGTTAGGCGCACTTGTGGAATTGGCTTGCTTCCCTCGTTTGCGACCTTTGCTCGTCGACGTTGAGGAGGATCGGGGGTTATGCGGCCGGCGCGTTGCCTTGTATTCCTGGTCGCCGTTGGAGGAAGACAAGGGGTCAAAGCGAAGGAGCGCAAGAGCCTGTCGTCGAAGCAGGATAGAACGCAGTAGGTGGTTGTTGTGCCCCCAGGCCAACCCACTTTCCTCGTGGTCGTTTCTCAATAGCGTTTCTACGGCCGCAGCCCCGAATGCCGCGTGTATCCCCTTCACTTCGGAGACGTTAGAGAAGCCTTCATACAGGTACGCCTCATAGAGCGGCGCCATCACCACATCGTGGTACTCCAGCAGGAGCTCCTCAACCAGGTTTGCGAGACGAATGAGCTCCCGCGTGAGTCGAAGGCACTTACGACGCTCATCGCGTTCCGCGAATGTGACCTCCTGCGTGACAAACTGCCCATTCGCAAGCACCTCCGCATACCGTGTAAGTTGCTGCGTATCCCTGCCATCTTTGGAGGCTCGGCTTGCGCCACCTTCGTCCTGCTTGGGCGCAAGCCATCGCAAGAAGAAGGGCGTGGGTCGGTTCTTATGGTTACCGGCACTAGTTCGCCTTGAAAATATCCATTTCACTACGGCGATCGCCTCACGAGCATAACACAGCAGTCGGTTCAGATCGGCCTTCACACGTGCCGTCGAAAATCTGAGTGGTGGTTGCTGATGCCGCCCCTCCTGAGACACAGCGGCTTCAGCGTCGCCAACCCCATCTTCACCACGCTCGTTTCCATACATGGTCTCCCAATTCCCTTCATCTTGCTGCAGGGAGTCAAGAGGGACGCCATCCAGCAAACGACGCCGCTCGCTAAGGATTGTCTCGGGATGCATGTTTTCGCGACGTACACGCTCAATGCGTGTTGCAATCATTTCGTGTTGCACTGCCACATAGCGCGCGAGGAGTTCCTGGACGGCGACTGTCATGTCCTTCAGCGTCACACGGACAGGTGGTGCCGAGCGCGTCGTCATCGCCATCATCGTCGCAGACGTGTCGCGGTTCACGTTTCTTATGGCGCCTCCCACGTGATATTCTGTGCGCCACTGCTTTAGCTGCTCCAACCCGCGCGTAACGCGGATTACCGTCTCCTCAGGCAGCGATTCTGGCCAGTTCTCTCTAATTAACAACCCCGCCATTAGACGGAGCGAGAGGACCAACGCAAGGATCACTAACAGCATGATACACAATGCTATAACGGCGTGCAGCGGGCCCTCAGAAAAATTACTCGCAACCCAGTCTCGGCATCGGGACCACCAGGTGCTCCCCGCTTCACGTTGTCTCCCTCGGCGTCTGCGGTTGATGATGGCCACTGTATTGCATCGCTGAGCCTGAGACAGGTTAGAGTTAAACTCCTTTTGCTCCGCATGGCGTTGGGTGCCAATGAGGAAAGGCATGTTCACACCCGCCCCAGCACCGTTTCGCCCAGCGTTCTCTTCGTCACCTTCGTCCCGCGGGTTGGCAGCTTTCCTTAACCGTCCTGTGGAGGAAGAGCTTACCCAATCATCTTCTTGGCGCAAGACGTTCAACGAAGTCGTCCGAGCACTTCCAAGAGTTTTGCCTCCAGTTTGTAAGGGGCTGTCTGCCTTTGGGATTGTGTTGCCAGCAATGGGTGAAGCTGGGTTGGCCTGATTGCAGTTCGCCAAACTAACGTTGCTATTGGGGGCAGCTGGCAGGGTATTCGTACTGTCGCCTGCGCCCGTAGTGTTGGCGGTTGCAGTCAAATGACCTTTCGACGCGGGGGATGCTGATCCAACCGCAGCATCTGAGGCGGATGCAGCATCCTTGAGCGCCTGGAGCCCTCTAGATGCCTCTACAATGTCCATGAGATAATAAAAATAGTGCTTACCACTATTGCTAAGCCGTGAGCCAAAGTTTTTTCCGTGTTTCACCTTGAGTACTAGCACCGAGGTTGGTTTATCCTTGATGTACTTTGTGGTCACACGAATCCATTTCACGTTCTCCCAAAGAAATTCTGCCTTTACCAGATCGCTAGTAAAATTACAACCCGTGGTATCCGCCGTGAGCGTTCCCTGAAAGCCCTGGTAGGTGCATGCGTGCCGCACCGGCTGGGCTTGCGCCCTCGGTGACGTGGTAGCCTTGGATGACGCCCCCTCGGTTGACATCTGTCGCGGCGACGTTCACGCAAGAGATGCCAAACACGAAGCACACACACACAGAAAAACAAAACAAAAACAAACAAACAATTGACGTGGGAGGGGCAGGAATGTTTTGATCCCACAACTCCCCCTTTTTGTCCGTTTGCAGTGGGTGTACGTACGCCTCTCTGCAGTCCTTCGTCTATAGCAACACTGACTCTTTCACACAAGCGAAGGAAAGTCCAAGGAAGTTTGCTTGTTTGTTTGTTGTCGTTTTCTGTTGTGGTTTTCCTTTCCCCCTCTCTTGTCTTCCCTCTCGCACCGTTTTGCAGGTTAGTCCTTTGCTCGCTTTGCTTGGGTTGAAGCAGAAGCAAAAGGCAAAAAAGCTTCCACACACTGTTTATTTTTTTTTAAAAAGTACAAATGTATTACAGCTTGTATTTATATTACTTTAGTTTCGTGCCCTACTTTGTGTTTTGACCTTCCTTGTATCCCTTAACACAAAGGCCGCCGTACTCTATGCCTTGCCTTCTATGCGAAGGGCTACCCAGCACGGGGGAGAAGGCGCCGCGAGAGCTCAAAGGGAAGGAAGGGGCGGCAAAAGCATGAGAGGGAAGGGAAAATCGTCAGAGATGGACATGCGTACCTGCACACACGTGCAACGGGTAGTATGCTGCAACGCATGCGCCATGGAAAAAGTTGGGGCGCAACACGTCAAACAAACAAACAGACAAAAAGGCCATGAAACAAGTTACCGGGGACTCGTTCCCTGCATAAATAAAAGCACGTGACAGCACCGACAGTGACGGAGCGATGAAAGAAGCGAGAAGTAAATAAAATAAAATAACGAGAGGTGCATGGAAAGAAAATGAACAAAAATCAAAGCAGTGATGGCAGACAACAGGGGTCAGTGTGCCCTTTGGCTACTGAATCATTCCTCTTGATGTTCCCAACGTAAACCATACATCCTCGCAAACGCACACACTTACGTACGCAAAAAAAAAAAGACGACTGGCAAGTCAAGAGAAAAGCGCGCGACTTGTTGTGTGAGCATGAAGTTCACCCTCGTTAAGCTGCGAATTACACCTACGGGCTTCCTCGGTCGCGTCTTCACCATTCAACATATTATCATGCTCAGTGATCGAGGAGCCCTTCGGCTCCGTCGAAACGGTGGACGGTTCCTCCCCCTCTACTTCTTCTTCCCCCTCCATCTTCGCCCCGTCCAGTTCTGTTTTCTGCTGTTGCTGTTGCTGTTCAGGATGGGAGACTTCGCGTATTCTTTGTTGACGCTGCTCTTGACTTTGGCGCAGTATCTCTGTATAGATGCGGCGAGCATCCATGGAGAAGTGCTCCTCTGCAGCAGGAAGAGACGGCAGCAAAGACTCGTCCTGACCCTTGTATTCTTGTTGTTGTGGCTGTCCTGTGTGCCGTTTTGGCTCTGCTGTGAAGTTCCCGTTTCTCACTGGAGCACAAAAAGTAGGAGCCGGTGGCGGGACAGCGGCGACGACAAAGTCGCCTTTCAAGTGGCTCTCTTCCAGTGACACAACCACGTCCACCGAGTCCTCGTCATCATTGTCGTTGCTGGCCTCCATATGCGGTTTATTGCCCTGCGCCTTACCGTACATGCCGCGCCACGAGGGATCCTCGGCGGCGCAGTGCAGCGTCGGTCCGCCGCCAGCTGCGTCTTGTACCACTCCCATGCACGTCGACGGTGTGCGCTTCCCAAAAGTGGCCTCGGCGTCATCGTCGTGAAAGCTCGCACCACGCTCCTCCGTCTCGCGTGGAGCGGCTTCATCCCCCGCAGCGTTAGCAACACCACTCATGCGCTGCTGTAGAATACGCTGCCGGTGTTGTATCACTGCTGCTTCTTCAAACAGCTGTTGAAGTGAGAGCCCCTCAAGGGACTTTGGCCGATAGTTCTTACCGCCATTATCAGGCACTCCGTCACTCTTTTCCACGTCGCCGTATGGGCTGAACCCCTTGTCATACATGGAGCATGGCCCCACCTCCGGCTTCGCCGCCTTCCCCGTCGATGTGGTTGCCTGCGATGATGACGAGCTGCTCCGGCATTTACGCCACGGCGTCCTTTCATGAGTTCGCTCCCCCGCACTGCCTTGGCCACGACTACGATCCGCGTCCACACCTCTGCCGCGCCTCTTCGTCTCCTGCGGAGGCTGGCCCCGCTCCGTTTGGGCGTTCACGCTGGTGTCATTCATGGACAAATTGCTGCCTTCATCGCCGTCGTTTAGGCCGTACTCACTGGGGCGAAATCTGCGTGGGTTATAGGCCAACGTGTCCTGCTTGCGCCTTGCGGTCATTCGCTCCTTTACGGCGGTCTCGCGAAGCAAATCCGCACGCGTCTTGCGTGGTGGAATCGCCTCCATCCCATTTGTTGTCGTCGCCCGAACGAGTCCAGTCAAGTCAGTCAGACGTGTGTGAGACCACGCCCCGCTCAGCGACAACTTCTCCCGCAGGCGGCGTTCGGCCTGCTGAAGGGATTGCTCCTCCCGCTCAATGTACTCCAGCGCGGCCTTTCGCTGATACACCGCCTCTCGGCGTCTGAGAGCGGCTGCACCGTAGGCAATCTCCTTTTGCCGCCTCTTTACCCGAAGTGCGATGCGCCTGTTCGACTCCGCAAGTTGGTCTAACTCCTCTCGCAGTCGCGCCGCCTCCTTGCGTTGGTCAGTGATGAGACGGCGGTCTTGTTGGAGTTGCTCTTTTAGGTGCGACACGACTTCCTGCATGCCCCGCTGTCTATCCTGTGAGGCGAGGAGCGCCGTCTCAAGAGTGTGCGCCTGTTGCAGCAGCATTTCCCTCGCCGCCAAGGTGTTGCTATTCGACGTCGCTGTCGAAAAGGTCGAAGTGTCAAACCCATCCTTTGAGAAACGACCAGGCTCAGTTGTTACAGCTTGATGATCCGGTAAGCCCTCGCTTCTTAGTCGATGCATCAGCATTGGCGTCAGAGCGGCGAGGGCACGTTGAAATCGACTTCCTCCTCCACTTTCCTCACAGAAACTGCTGCTGTCGCTGTGCGTCCGTGCACCAGGTGCGGCACTAACCGTCGTGTTTGTGGTGTTCGCCGAGCCGCATACGAGTGATGTATCTTCTTTCCTCCCGCCGTATGCAACATTACTATTGTCCCTACGGACAGAACCACGGACGCCACTGACTCCATCATTATTGCTACTATTGCTGGCCTCAGCGGAACTTGTTGTCGCCGTCGCATATTCAACTTCTCTACTAAACGACGTGTTGACTCTATTATCGGCATCGGCCACGATATTGGCGAAAGCGCCGCTGGGAGCAGTGGCTTTGGAGGAGACGGTGGCAGCGTTGCTGCTGGTGGTGGCGCTAGAAGAGCCGGTCACCACCACCGTCGGGCGAAGCTGCGCAGCCGCAGCCGCAGCCCTCATCATCATCGTGCTTTGCGCACTGCGTGCACGTTCGGGCCTAGGAACGCCGCCGTTCACACCCTCTGCGGCGGGTACCGCCTCTCTACCTCTCCTTACCGCCGGGCTGGCATCACGCGGCTGAGGGTCCAAGGAATCTCGGGACCCATCCGTGCCCCCGTGGGAGGTCACTGGCCTCGGTTGCTCTGCTTGGTCCGACCCTCGAGGTCTCTCCTTTGGCGGCTTATTCTGTGATCTCACGCCGGGGAGTAAAGCCTTGTTGCGTCCCCCCTGCGTGACTGGTCTATCGGTGTTTTCTATGACCTGTTCGAGGACCTCCCGCGCGGCGTTCATGAGCCCCTCCCGCGCCGCATTCACATCCACGTCTCCGTCCAGCTCCGCTATCTGTGGAATAATTTGCTGCAGCAGTGCCGCGTACAACACTTGAGCCAGGGTGTTGCCGCCAGAAGGCCGTTGACGCGCAAGAAGGATTTCTATTTGTCCAATATGCTGTTGTGCAACTTCGCGAACAATACGCTGCAGAACGGCGCGCTTCTCGACTTCATTTGCCTCCGTCTCACCCTCTGCATCCCTCCCTCCAAGCTCGGAAAGAGTAGAAGGTAGCAGCAGCAACTCGAGAAAGGTGGCAATGGTTGTCCGCGGGGCACTTATAAATGCATCTGCAACGGGGCAGCCACGCATATCAAGACTGTGCAGTTTCGGGCAAAACGTTGCCGCCGCAGAGACCGCGGTCAGATCGGACACTCCACAATTTGCTGCTCGAAGGTGCGTTAACGCCTCCATTCCGCAGAGTACACCATTGAGCGCGGATATCTGTGTGTTTCCGTCTAGTTTTAGCACAGCCACCGCAGACTTTGTTCGTTGCAGCCACGCTTTGTTGTCCTCTTGGTTAAATGCATGTGTTGCAGCTGGGCCCTCCACGGCCTCTTGCCACATCGCCTCCACGCGGTCGCTCTCATCCAGGGTCAAGCGTAACGCATTGTACGAAAGATCCACCTCGTGAAGCTCGGGAAAACGCTTTTGGCTAAAAACAAGGGCCAAAGTGACTGGGCACGCCCGACGCAGATGCCCCAAGGCCCTTTCCAGCTTCTCTGAGGTGGCGGTGGCTGCTCCTGCTGCTGTTGCCAAGGCTGCGCCTCCGTTGCCTCCACGTCTATTCTTGCCGCCACCTTCCACCGGCGCGTCAGGGGCGAAGGAACTCAGCTCATTGTGTGCGAGGTTCAGCACACGGAGTGAGGACGGCAGGGCGTCCAGCCAGGCGCAGGCATCGGGGCCTGCGCGGCCGCCGAGGCCGTTGTAGGCGAGGTCTAGGTGGGCAAGGTGGTTGAAGAGGGCGCCCAGGCCAATGATGCGCTCGATGCGGTTGTTGCCGGCATTCAGCGATTGCACACGACTCGCAACAAGCACCTCCTCCTCCGACGCCCGCGCTCGATCAAAGCGAAGCTCGGAGATCGACTTGAAGGAGAGGTCAATGTTCATTCCCGTGGCAAAGCGGCCTCGCACCGCGGCGGAAGAGCGCGGCGGGCGCGGTGAAGGGGGGGCGAGAGCACAAGCGGCGTTACTACGCGCGACAGAGTTGACGCCGCCCAGCCTCTAATTCGTCGCTGCCCCCTCCCCCTCCGTCGTCAGCGCGAAATGCCACAGAGATGCCCACCACGAGCGGGAAAAACCGCCTACCTTGGCGGCCGCGTCCAACCACACACACAGAGAGAATAGGTTCTATTGACACCTACCGCGTCCCTTCTATGCTTCTTTGCTTTTCCACTCCGGTTCACCACCACCACCACCACCACCACCGCCACCACCTTTCTTCTTTATTAATTATATATATAATTACTGTTGCGCGTGCACGAGCACACCGCCCCTCCCTTGTCTGGAGCTGCTAGCCAGCCACTTTACTCGTATTCAGCCCTTTTCTTGTGAGTGTAGGCCACAAGAGAGGAAGACAATTTGCAAAGCATGCGGGGACCCGAAGCGAAGCCGCAGAAACAGAGTCGTAGCCCCCAAGCCACGTGCGCCGACGGAGGGCGGGACTGTGCGTCCA